GTTACTCTAATTTGGAAAAAGCTCTTTTGTCTGCTTGGTAGTAGCGTCTACAGCTATAAGAGACAGCTGGTTTTGGTAAATGCTCTTGGATCCTCCAGCCTGGAAGTACAGCTAGGCAGAGAATACTGCAGTGAACATTGCACTGCCCAAAGAAGTCCCATCCAGTTGTTTTTTGGTTAGAAAAGTTGTACTCAAGCATATTCCTAAACGTGTATTTATGTGTGTGTGGCTCTACAGTACAGATGTGGGAGGAAAGTAGTAAAACTTTGGAAATGTGGAATAAAACAGGAATGTGGAGGGAAACCATCATTCTAAGGAAGATAATTACTTGACAAGGAATTCCAATTTAGGTTTGAGCTTTGGTTTAAAAAGTGCCTTATTGTATTTGCCTTTTAAGGAGAACTATTTAGGGTTCATATTTCAAAAACATGCAAAAACAAAAAATGGGTGTGCAACCTAGTCCTTAATTTTTACACAAAGGTATTGCAGTTGCTTGCGGAAATTGGTACATGTGCATAAAAATGGTCAGTCATGCATTTGTTTGGTTAATCGTCTGATCTGTAAGCACTCTACATTGCACCTTTACATTTTTTTTAAGTTGGGTCCTTAAATGTTTGTGAGTTTATAAGGCTTAATGAAAACTAAGTTCTGCTCTGCTTTATTTTATGCTGCATTAATTTATATATCTTTAAATATCAAGATGTTATATAGTTTATTTCCTAATGCTGATTTCAGTAGTATATTATGTAATAGTGTCTTAAAGGGAACTTTAAGGAATATGTTTTGAGAATGTAGAATGTAGGGAGTTAGACCAGTGGTCCATTTAGCCCAGTATTTTCTCAGACCATGGCAAATAGTACTTGTTTAGAGGGACAGTATATGAACAGGGAATATCTAGAATAATCTATCCTCTGTCATACTCTCTAAGTCATTAACTGTCATTGGTTTTAGGGATATCAGAGGATACATCTCATTACTGTTCTAGTCAATAGCTCTCAGTAAACACGTCCTCCATGAATTTGTCTAACTTAGTTTAAACTCTTTTCCCATTCTTTTTTTCTGGTTATTTATTTTCTGGCACCGCTATACAACAACTACAGCTTCACCTATTTTAGAGGGACACTGCTCACAGGGATCCTGTGTACAGTATTTTTACACTGAAGCTGTTGCTAATGCTGCAATATTTTTACCATCTGTTGTGTAATAATTCATAATACATAATCCATAGTGTACAGCCTTACACACCCTTTCCTCTCCATTTTTGTTTAACTAGTAATGGACAGATACCCCAAAGCACAGAGTATATAATCATAGCATCCTGTACTCTTCTGCAAACATAAATATGTCTTAGATAAATAAACCTCCATTTCACAAAATGATACATGCTTGAAACATCAACTAAATATGAAGATAAATTTTCTAGCAAATATGCAGGAAAAGGGCAATTGTTTGAATGAAAGTGCTAAAACAGTTTTTGAAATTGTACTGAATGGCTGGAGGCAAGTCGTACAATGGTAAACTGTTCTCTGCATGGACATTAACAATAGTACCATGTACGACTTGGGACATTACTGTGGACATCGTATGCATGTGCTTAAGATACAGAATTGGATTAGGGAAAGTTGGGTTCTGTTCCTTGTGCTGCCAGACTTTCTTTATGACTCCAGGTAACTTTATTTCTTGGTTTACTCATCAGAAAAACACAGATGATAAAAATCTCACAGTAACTGCTTAAGGCTAGATTCCTCCATATAAATACAAAAAACCATAATACTGCTCACTGGAGGTAACTTTTGAACTCAACACTTACATAATTATTTTCATATATACATTTAAAATTACAGTCTATGCACCTTTTGGATGGGGGGAAAGGAGGAAATGTAGAGACAGTATCATCTTCCTCTCTGTGTCTCTCTCTCCTCTCTTCCCCCTCCTAATTTTAGACTTTGCATAAACTTCTGATCTGTAAACTCATTTATACTGTTACCCTCTAAAGCAGTAGTATGAACCACCACCTACTTTATATAGTTATAAGTGAATTATTTCCTCAACCCTTGGTGTAAGCTCTCTTTCTTTAAGTATTATTATTTGTATTACAATAGTGCCTCATCTCCATCTGAAAGCAGAGGCCCAATTTGGTAGACTTACATAGAGCTTATATAGATGCTGCCTCAAAGAGCTTCCAATATAAGCAGACAAGCCAGACAAAGCATGTAAATGTAGGTGGAAGCAGGGATTTTTACTCTTATTATTGATGGGCTCACTGGTATCCTAGGTTGTGCTTGAAGATTTTCAATTTTATTTCTGTGCTATACTAATCAAATTCATCTTCCTTGCATGTGGTATAATAAGAATAGAAAATGCAACAAGCCTAAGAAAGGACTGCTTAAGTGGAAATGTGGAATGAGTTTAAATGTGTCAAAAACAGGCTTTCTGCTCTGATTATGGTGAAGCTTTAGTCACCTTCTTGAAGGGGCCTTTAGGATGCAGGATCGTGTCACTTAATCTCTTAGCCGTCAGTTACAAAAAGTGATAAACTAGTCACAACAAAGCTATTTTGGATTATGTATCTCTGTTCCAGCCAACTAAAATTGAAGGACACAAATCAGTGGACTTCAGTGGAGTTGTGATCACTTGCTCCATTCATTGATTTAGCCCAACATTTAGGGACTTACCAATATCTTCACCTGGATCAGACAAGCCTCCTGGAAATTTCCATGCATTTATAGTCTATAATGGAAGAGGAAATTATTAACACAGCATACAGCCTATTTTTTACTCGCTAATAGAAAAAGACAAAACAATTCCTAGAATTTTTAGTGAATTTTTAAAGTGTTGACATGTTAATTACTTCTATAATTGTCAGTAGGTTTTAAATAGGAACTTCTCTATTTTTGCTAATGTGATCATCTAAGACAGCTACCTGTCTATATGAAATATTGGAAGAAAACATCTACTGAATGAAAATATAAACTGTCTAACAGACATTAGACAAAGTTGCTGCTAGAAAACTAGTTAAAGAAGCTGCTATAGGTAGATATAATCTGTATACTCTTGTATTTAATCACTGATGTATTCTATTTCAATGTTTTTGGCTTTGTTAAAGAAACAAAATGTATATATTTAATCTTCCAAATAGATTTTATGATTGTAGTACTGTTCTATACTGCACTGGCTTTAATGATTATGTGTGTTTGTAATAACCGGTTAATGTAACCTGTCATTTTGTTTTATATGGAACAGAAAAAATAAAATTGAGGCCTTTTGTGTGTTAATTTTATACAGAAGCATTTCCTGAAGTTCCTCAGAATCAAGCTGAATAATAAGAGTGTGAATTGAAGCCTCTGTATTGTACTGAACACTGACAGTGCCATGAGCCTGTAGCCCTTGCATACAAGAGGAAAGGCTAAAGGATGAAATCCTTAGTCTCTGTATATTTTTGTCAGAAACCAAACAAACTAGTCAGGAAAATATTACCAGAGTGACCTTCTAAACTGTACATTCTCCTAAGGGGAAAAAAAAAAGCTTTTCCTACATTTAGAATCAAGCAGCTGTGTTTCCCTCTCACTCCAAACCCCACTGATTATATTGGAAAACATTCTTTCTGGGCATTCTTCAAGGGCTTGGACAAGACATTATATTAATTAAGAAAAAGAAAACTGCAGATGGAAAAAGTATATATTTGTCCACTGGATTTCAGGTTTTGTTTTCAATTCCTGGAAATATCTTTCTGTGTACTCTGTAACTCTAATTCCATGACACCGCACAAACAGCTCTTAATATATTTTGACATCACAGTAGGCTGTATAAATCACTAATGCAAACATGCTTGACATTTTTTTTTCCAAACCCTTTATGGTATCAACTTACTTAAGTAAAGCAGTCACCATATTGCAAAAATGTCACATTCTGGGGAGAGAAAAAAACTTGTAGGGAAAGTATGTCCTTTGGCTAATTTAATTTTGCTTGTACTGGGATGTTTTGTTTAGATTGGCCATCTTGTGGACTAAGATCAAGTTGGGGCATCCAAATCTCAGGATCTCTGGCCTTGGGCTTGCATGTAGGATACCAGACAATGGACTTGGGAGTAACTGAAGTCCCAGGGTGAGAGCCGGGGCAGAGGATGCTCACCAGTTGTAGCGCCATACGTGATGTTTAGAATGATTGAATTCTGTCTGCTCAATCAAAATGATTTTTGTAACAATTGAGTTCTGCTCAATCGATACGATTTGGCACTGATTTTGCTGATTTGATCTGGTATATAAAATATATTTAAAAAAAATTTGGTCATTGTAACAGCATGTATATTATTAATACCTTCAGCTTTTGTACTTAGTGGGTGCGTCTACACATTGCCCCATGGTGATGTAGCGATGTGCTATGTCTCCGTATGCTTGCTACGGTGATGTAGTGATCACATGTGTCTACACGTGATCGTCAGCTATGTCACTGTAGCAGCATGCTCCTGGGTATAGTTCGTTGCTATGGTGACACAGTAGCAAAGTTTAACCATGCACCACCTGCAAGGCACAGTAACTGCTCATATGGTGCTGTGCTTTAGTACTTTCAAAAGGAAGTACTAAAGCATGGCTCCATAGCAACATCTCCATACAGCAACCTGTAGATGTATCCAATGCAATGTACCTGCTAAACAGGACTGTAGAGAAGAAGGTACTCAACGTAATATATTTTGTTTTCCTCTTCCTCACCAATTGCCCTCTTGTTCTGGCAAGGACTGATGTAGCTGCCCCTGGACATTGCCCACTCCACATTCAGTAATTCTGAATGCCTTTTATGGGATAGTGATGCCAGGTTTACTTCTCAAGATAAACATGTTGCCCCTATTATATCCCTTAGTCTTTTTGTTGGTCTATGGCAGTGATTCTCAACCAGGATGCCAGGGGGACCCTGGGGTGCTGTGAGATCCTTTGAAGGATAGTGCATTGTGTGACAAGATAAGCAAGTAAGCCATTCCTTTGCCCCCTCTGCCTGCCCCCTTTGCAAGGGGGTAAGCATTGTAATAAATTAGTTTTAGAAATGGGGTGCTGCTCAAATCACAACAGTTATGGAGGTGTGCCTTGAGTCTTATTGGGGATGTCTTGAGGCTGAAAACTTATCTACAGGAAACAAACTTCAGGACCCTCTGTCTGGCTCTTTAGGCAGCAATGTGTTATGCAGCCTTTAAGTGCAAGACTAGATCAAGTCTTCTGTATTTACAAGTGGCAGTTGCCGAACTTTTAACAGAAAAATGAGATAGGATGCCAGAGGTAAGTGTACAATATTCCTTCATGGTTTTCAGGAAACCGTTTCTTTTCTTCATTTGTTACAACTGTAAAAGATGTAAGGATTTGCTGCTTTTGGTGGGAAGGGGAGAGAGGGCGTGTTGGTTTTTTGAGAGCTGGCTATTTCCTATGTTGCCTTAAAAGTAAGCATGCACACATGTATACACAGGCCAACTAAAAAGTAAAATAAATACATTTATAAACTGGTATAATTTGTATGGTGTTTTCTTCTTTTACTTATACTGGAAAGTTTCATTTAGAATTTAAGCCAGTTCTGGAGCGTATATTCTGCATGCCAAATTTATGCATTAACTGGCAGTTACCCAAAAGGAGCCTGGAGGCCCTGTTATACAGGAGTCTTTACAGTTTTGCTGTACCACAAGTTAAAGTACAAAGTTAATACTTTACAGGAAATAGCAAAGAGGTGCTCTCTGAATTCTTGCATTACAAATTCAGAATATTTTATAATTATGCCTGCCTTTGAATATAACCTTTCATTAAAGTTGATTAGCTGTTCTGGAGCAAGCTGTGAGCTGAAGTAAAGTTTAGTTTGGTTGCTGAGAATAAATCTGTTAGTAGTTATTTTGCTGAAGGGGGAAAAATATACCTAGGGAGACGCTGGCTTAGCTATAACTACAGAAAATATATAATTGAATGCATCATTTTCTATCTTTGTGTTGCCACTTACAAATTATTTAAACATTCCTTCTGTATCATTATGGGGAATTCCTTCTGCTCCATTAGAGGGAGATTCTTAAATTTGCAAAGGATTATTCAGTTACAAAAGAAGTAATTTTTAATTAAAATAACTTCTGTTAAGTTACCAGGCTTAAGACCTTCATGAAGCAAGAAATGGTAGAATGACTCAGGAGAGTGATAATGAGCTAGGCAACATTTTGCCACTTGGTCAGTGGTTATATTGATAGTGACTGGAAGCCATTATGATGTGATGGATATTTTGCTTTCCTCAGTCCAGTTCCACATCATAAAAACCACCATCACCACAACTAACACTCTTGCTTAGCAGTTTCAGTTAGGAGGCTAAGCAGTAAAGTTAATATGAAAAATTAACTACTTTTATACCTGTAACTGTGGTCCTTCTAGGTCACGGTGAAGTGTGTTACTTATTAAGTCCCACAGATACATCTGGCACTTTACTAAGCAAACAAAAATCGAATCCCTGCCCTAAAGAGCATACTTGGATTCACTGAGGTTTTACTGAGGTCTGCATGAATCTCAAGTCAGGATCAGGGCCTAAATTAGGGCAATCATAGAGGACAATACAAATTTTGAGAGGAGATTTAGGTGGTAAATACAGTATGATCACAAAATGCTTGGCTTGGGGACTAGAGAATTACACTGTGCTTTTTAATAGGGAAGGGGATACAGTAGGACCATTTTCACTGGCAGGGTCACATGGGTGCACTTGCATGTCTGATACTCATGCTGAAACTTACGTAGCTGTCAGTCTAATATTAGTAAAGTACTCCTAATCAACAGTAAGGAAAAAGCCCACACTCCATGAAGTGTTTCTTATGGGAATGCTTAGGCCTAGCAAGAAACTTTAAATTGATTTCTCTCCTTCTCCCCCTTCAGTGGAAAAAATGTAGCTAACTTGGGCATTCTGTAGTAATCATCCCCATTCCATCTTTTTTGGAGCTTACACATGAAATTGTTTTTTAAAATAAAGAACAAAACAAAACTTTCTACTTGGTTCCAAATTCTGAAAAGATTTATGCATATGCAGAATTTTGTTAAAGTTACCTGAACGACTTATGGAAGTCAAGTTATGACTAGCAACCTAATGGATAATAATATAATAATTAACTAATAAGTGCTAGTAATAACTAATGTTTCTTGATAGGCTAAGTATGTAAATGGAAACATTTGCTGAAATTGTGATGTCTCGCAGAACTCTGGTTTATGATGGGTAGGTAAGTTCTAGATGAAGTCAGGAGACCAAAATCCTGTTGCTGATCTCTGTTGTTTTAGAGAATAAAGAAAAAACTTCTCTTTTCTCATAAAGAGACAAAATTGTGTCTTAATGGAATGATTCTCAAATATTTCTACAAAGTGTTGCCAGATAGCCTGGTAAGGTTTTTCAAAGGCTGCACAGGTAGAAAAGGAGAAACTTGGCAAAGATCAGTCTCTTGCCCCTTAGGAGAAATGTTCTATATCCTTGTTCCAACTGCCTGTCTCCCTGGCCATTAAACTGCCCTTTTTACTTGCTTTAGCAATCCCAGCAAGCTGTGTCTGCCAATGATTTCTCAAGGTGCCAACAACAGCTTAAACAGTTTTGAACAAACAATGTTTGACTTATTGAAGACCACTGCTCTCTTCTTTACAGCAACCTTTATTATTACTGCTGTTTAACAGCTAGAAAGCAGGCAGCTTCCTTTAAGGCAGACATATTATTTAGGTCTGCTTCTGTGTGTCAACTTAAGTCTT